TAAAAGTTTTCTAAGTTGGGAGATAAGCCCGAAATAAAATCTCATCAGTGTGGTTAGCCCATAAAAACCCTGATTCGGTTCGTGAGCTCATCCCAGATTAAAGGTTATCCTTTGGTTTGAGATAAGTACGTCGGTCTAGCTTGGGGACTAACTGCATCAAGTTTCTATTTGGAAAGAAGACTAAATGCTTTAATATGTCATTTGAAAGGAACACTATCCGCTTCTCTCATATGTATGTTGTTTTCTTGGAAGTTAGCTAGAAACTTCATTTTCCTTGTATAAGGGAGTTCGAGAGTTCAACCTTTTAAAAACTCTTAAGTTTATTGGATACTCTCAAGATCAAATCTTGGGGACAGGACTAAGTCTTCTTGACTGAACTTGTATAATTCGTGGTGTCTTATCTCTTTCCTTAATTTTTACTTTCTGTATTTTATTCTTAATTTCCATTGCTAATTTCTAAATTCTTTTAAAATGATTTTAAAACTCTGAAAATGATCTTAAAAGTTTTTCAAATTATCATTTTTCTAAAACGCGTAATTCACCCCATATCTTGTGTGTTGTGTCATATATTCAACAAGTGGCATTAGAGCCTAACTCCTGTTTAAGGACTAATCATCTCAAGATAAAGATGACTTCCAACAAGAAATATTTTGCATCTATCTTTTAATAGTGCTAGGTTTAAATTGTGAAAATCTAGATTTAGGAATTTTATTCAATGTAATAAATTAGAACTATGGGAAACTTTAATCAACAATTTGTTTATCCCTACTCGGCAAGTAAATGGTAAAGTAGTAGATAAAACCAATTTCCTTTGGACCAATGAGGAGAATATAAAATTTGAAATAGATTTTAAAATAGAGATTTTTATTGTAGTGTCCCTAGATGATAGTAAATTTCTTTATGTTTACAATTCCAAAGCCTCCAAGAAAATGTGTGATACTCTTGAAATGGTATATGGAGTCTCTCCAAATATCAAATAAGAGGAAATGAATACATGAGCAGAAAGATGAAGAATCCTCTTATAAGTGTTTTTTCAAAACTTAAAAATATTAAAAATTATATTGGAGCATTTGTCACTAACCAATATCTAAGAATTAAGAATTAGAAACTTAATCCAATCCTTAAACCGAAAGATGCGAGGTTTCATAAGTCTCAGGAAAAAACAAAGAAGAAGGAAATCATAGAAAATTAAATGAACTAGATCAATTACTTAAAGATGAAGGAGCAATATCAAAAAATAAAGAATCACCAACTTCATCAACTCCTATCAAACAACTCATATGGCTTCCTTCGAAAGAACATACTGAATAGTTAAACGATCTTCAGAAGATTCAACTTTAAATGAAAGAACCTTATGCGTAAGAGGTTGTGTAGAAGTATCGTTCAATGGAATCTTCGAAGGAAGAAGAGAAGATCAATCACTTATAAATAAAGAAGAATCAACCTCGGAGAGAACTATGAAAAAATCCTCTTCAAATGAAGAAGATGAAGTCTTCTTAAAGGTATTTTACGAGGAAAATGATTATGAGGTAACTAAACCATCCTATAAGAAATTCAAAATTAGTGCCAAGTTGGTTTTAAGAAAATGATAAAATTAATAAGCGCAACTTGGATCTTAAGGAGTATTTAGAGCTTCTTGAAGAAAGCAACAAATCACTTAAATTAGAAATAACTAATATTAGAAACTCAAGAGAATCATGTGAGACTTGTATCTTGTTGAAAAAGGAAGTAATAGAGCTACATAAAACCCTAGGTAAATTTACCAAGGGAAAAGAAAACCTTGATTTGATCCTATCAAGTTAAAGATCTTCCTTAAATACAAATGGATTAGGATTCAAAACAGATAGAAAACCTAATACATATTTAGATCATAAGAAACAAAATCGTCAAGTTTATAAATACACACATTATGAGAAATTTGTTCACTTAGAGCCCTTTTATTTTGAGAAATTGAAAATGTCTAAAGGTAATAATAACCTTAGACCTTCTAGGAAAACTAAGACACCTGAATCCAAGAAAATATGAGTACCAAAGGTTAAATCATATCATGTTTTGCAGGAATACTTTGTAGATCAAAGCTTTACTAAATATTAAATAGAGTTGTGCAAAGATTATACTTTCAAGTATACGGTATTTTAAGTCTCTGATCCAAGAAGAGTAGATGATGGTCGATATCAACGATGGCGATCAAAGCAAGGTTTTTCATTGAAGATATTTCAACATTTATGATACTCAGTGATCAGCTAACCTCATAGTAGATTGAGTCAACATATCTATGATGGACTTATCCAGCTTGTCATTTGAACGAACTCTCGCATCCAACGATGAAAAGGACACAACATAATGATTTGGTGTTCCACTAAAGAAAGCTTTATCAAGGTCTCTTGATAATATAGTCAGTACATATTATTTTAAGGTTGAAATGATCAAAAAATCTCGATTAATCATTTAAAAATAGTGATTTAATTTTGCTCATTTCGACAAATCATATTTACTGACAAAAAAGATAAGTTTCTAAGTATTTTATAGAGAGGAACTGCAAATAAAATTAAACAGGAATACACAAAAGCAATATAATCCAGCACAAGGTCTAAAATACACCATAAAAAATGACTGACGTAAGCCTAACGATTGACACTTGAGACAATCGATTGGAGAATCTTGACGCTCATATTTACCAATCATATTCCAACTAAACATGTATTCCAAAACAAATATATCCCAAAATAAAGGCTCAATATCTTGAACGATCTGATTATTCAATGGATTGGAGCCTATAACCAATCCATTGGCACACCTAATTTGAAATGACTGAAATGACAAACATATAGTTTAACATGCATGGTCATGCAATGACCGACACAGCTTAACAAATTTAAAGGCAAACTAGACAGAATTAATGTTAAAATAAGGAGACCATATCACATCTGGAGACAGTTCATAGTTTTCTTTACTTGTTTATGATACCAACCAACTAGTAGTATTACTAATTAATTAATTGTTACATGCTGTCAATCAATAATATTATGAGATCTTGGGAGGTGGCTAAAATATCAGCACTCATTTGACTTAGAGATCTTCAAACCAAAAGCAGAAACATCATTGTCCTATAAATAAAAGCCACCACAACTTGTTCTACTCACTCTCTCAAACCTAACACAAACATAACACTCTCCTCTTAAAACAAAAAATGCAAATACATTTCTCCATTAAACTTCTTGTTAGTTTCTTGCTCTTGTTCATTTCCCCTCTGTTTCTTTCATTCTCAACCGCCGCAAACAGACCGCAAGATCTCCTCCGTTCATCATGTGCACAAGCAAGATACCCAGCTCTCTGCTTCCAAACACTCTCGAACCAAGTCAGTCCCACGGCGAAGCCCTTAGAACTGGCTCAGGCCGCCGTTAAAGCCAGTTTCGCCCGCACTCTCACCCTTTCCGTTTACCTCAAGAACACTCTAAAGTCACAGCTGACAGTTGGGTCTAAAGGTAACAACAGAAAGCGAGTTGCATTGAGTGACTGTGTTGCTCAGATTTCCGATTCTGTTCTTGAGTTGAACCGGACGTTGAACGAGTTACGGAAGCTTCAGATGGGAACGTTCGAGTGGCAAATGAGTAACGCTCAGACATGGGCTAGTACGGCAATAACAAACGGTAACGCGTGTATCAACGGTTTGAATAGGAGTGACGCAGAAGAGAAGATGAAGGTGGAGGTGAAACGTAGGGTTACGGAAGTATCCATGTTTACAAGTAACGCTCTCTACTTTATCATTCGTCTCGGTGATAGCAGGAATCCAAAGCCTCACTCCAATTCCAATAACTGATGCATCCATAATATTGTCAAGTTTCTGCTTTTGTTTCCCATAGCGTGGTTGAAAATGTTTTGTTGAACCATACTTGCTAGAATTGTAAAGTACGTATGCTTTTGTTTCGTTTTTGTTTTTGCTGTGTGCAAGAGACAAGATGTAAATCTATGTTTTTGTATGCAGTTTTTAATATGTTGGCTTAGCTGTGTTTAGATTAGTCAATGGAAATTTAATGCTGTAAGAATATCTTGCACTCTAATTTTAATGACTCGTACTTGAATTTTTATTGTTTTTTACAAACAAAATATAATAGAATATATTATGTCTAAATCAAAAGAATGCTCAAATCTTTCAAGTTCATCGTTTTCATTAGTTTATTGCAGAACACTATATATTTAAGAGATTTTCAAATTAATCAGACCACAACATGTCAGATCATAAGCCACCCCTCTCAGCCTAAATAGATCACCACTAGAAAAAATCATTTGAAAAAGGATCAAAGACTCGCAGGGAACTTAGTTAGGACTTGGGAAATTTAGAATCTAGACACTACAACATTTAGGCTCTCCAGCAACAATTGAAAAACGTTGCCAGAACTCTGAAAATCGTTGCCTAAAACAATAGGGGACGTTTTCTAGGCGTCTCCTGTGCGAGCGTTGCCTATTGTTTGAGGCGACGTTTTTTTATGTTTTTTGGGAACACTTTTGAAAAACGTCGCCTATAGTAAAGGAATAGGGGACGATTATTTACAGCCTCTGAGACAACGTTTTTTAAGTGTTGCGTTGCCAAATTCGACTACAATTAACAATCGTTGCCTTAAACCTGAATCAGGAAGATCGTTTTTGAAGTGTAGCCATAGCTTATAGGTTGTTGTTTTATAGTGTCCACATAAAATATACAATTTTGCAATTATTATCAAAATAATATAGTCAATAATAATTGGCTTCAAAAATAATATTGGTTATATAACTTAAACCATACATCCATAAAAGTTGTAATATAATAAAATCGAGTTCAAACTTTAATTCAAGATATAGTATATAGAGTACACAAAATGCCTAACGTAACAATATTACTTTTAATACTTTGAAGTATGACCCTAGTAAAATAACTAAAAACATAGTTCAACAAAAGAACAAAAATCATATTTCAAGTTTAATGCTTTCAACTACAAGCCAAAAAAAAGACATCATCCAACTCATTCAAGTTTGTCTTCTAGGAGTAAAGCATCCAGATCGTCCTCTTGAAATTCGTTATCCTCCATAAATTCTTCATCTACGTCGTCCTCTTGAAATTCACCATCTATATCCTCCTCTTGAAATTCATCATCTAGATCTATGTCGTCCTCTTGAAATTCGTCATCTACGTCGTCCTCTTGAATTTTATCATTTAGGTCGTCCTCTTGAATTTTATCATTTATGTCGTCCTCTTGAATTTCATCATTTATATCGTCCTTTTCAACATCTTCATTGATACATTGCTGCATAAGAAAATAAAATAAAACACATTAACCATAAGTATTTTTGGTCCAAAGGACAATTAAGACGTCAACAAGAATTAAACCTCGCACAAATAAAAACTAAACCAATGAGCAAAACACATTGTTTATATTCTTCACATCTCATGGATGTGAATTAATTATGAAGGTTTTTAATGGATGTGAATTTTCGTTCTAAACTGTAATAGGTGACATGAGCTTACTAGCAAATAAATCAATTATGAAAACCATTCTGTTTTTGGCTCACTATTCAGGACTTACAATAGCCTTTAACTGTATGTATGTATGTATAACTTGTGCTATCCTTTTATGTTTATTTTTTGGAGTAAATGAACTCTGATGAACACTCTTACTTGTTGTATCTTCTTTGGTGTTCAGTATCATATGGATAAATTTACAGCATACATAGTGAGTGTTATCAAACAAGGGGGTCCCATAATCTTATCCCAGGCAAGTATGTTTGTGAAATATCAATGAAAGCTCGCACAAATAAAACAGTTTCAGCCACTTCTAGGTGTTGTCACTACTTAAACAATTTCAACCACTTACTTTATTCTAGGTGTTGTCACTACTTGCAAATTTTTGCATACATTAACAACCATTTTGATACTATAACATAATTAGAAAAATATAAATCAATAATATTGATATATATGGTTACCTTTCCATGACATGGAGCATGAGTTGATGTAGATGAATGCATTTGCGGTCTTATATCCTTTGGGGAACTATTAGCATCTCCATGAGATAATCCTAACAAATCTTCAATTGACTCTATATTAATTTGAGGATTGCATTGTTGTATTACGGTCTTAAAAGCATTTTGCAATCTATCAATCTTATCTTGAAACTCGTCCCTTAATGTAGAGACCTCTTCACTGTGGGCTTGTTTCAAAGCATTAATCTCTGCCTTTCTCTTTAAGGAAGTTTTAGTTATGTTTCTCCCATAATAGCGTACCCTGCCTGGACACTCCTTTTCAAAAAAAAACTTTAAAAGCTTCTGTATCACTTTCCTCCTTTTCAACCATTTCTTGAAGTTGGGACTAGCATAAATTACAAAAAAAAATATTAGCTACTATTATAGACAATGTTGGCCGATTATATTAAGCAAACGTATTATATAAACAATGTTACATACAATTACTTTTCCAGTTTCTACATCCAGTTCCTTTCCTTTATTTCCTTTTCGAGTTTCAACAAACATTTTTGATTGAGTGGGCTCTCTTTTTTCCTTTCCACACTGCACAAATCAAAATAATTCCATAACAAATAATGTGAATTAAAATTCCTATTCACGAGTCAAAGAAAAGTTTTTCACGAATACTTTAATTGAACAAAGAAACATTCATACAAGAAATAATTTATTGAGAACAAAAGAAAGTTACCACTTTTTCACGAGTCAAAGCAAAGTTTTTGGGACCCATTCGATACATCCACTTTAGTTGAGCTCTATTTCTAGTGTTATTTTCACTGATTGCCTACATTTAAATTTGACAGAATTATTATAATAAATATTACTTAATTATGGCATACATAGAAAGGTGTAAATTCACACACATACATAAAAAAATTATTAATCTTACTTGTATAGTTTCCTTACTCCAATAAGCACAAAGACTCTTAAACTGGGCTATTGGCACGTTTGGCGGACGATTTTTGAGTCTCTCGGTCATGTTGGAATACTTCAAAAAATGATTCTTCTTAATTTTGTGCTTATATCTTCTCCATGCCTCTCTAACAGTGGTCTCAATCCAATCTCGTGCTTCAACCGGCAAGATAAACTTCTGCTACATAAATTATAAGATAAGACAAGATCAAGAAATGAAACACTTTTTTTAATAATTAGACTTTCAAATTCATAGATAAAAACATACATTAGTATATCTCCAGAAACGGTTTTTATTTTCATCTGGCATTCCTGACCAATTGGTGTAACGTAGAGGACAAAATGTTGAGTTCCTAGCCAATGTTCCCAAGAAGAGGCTCAAGTCAGATACTACTTTTTCACTAGGACCAATTGGCTGAAAATCCTCATTAAAGGTCACTTCTACTCGCTCTTCCAAAGTTCTTGCATGAATCTTTTTGCACAAAGTTTTCCCACGAGTTTTTCTTTGGGATGTTTCTATAAAGTAATAACACAACAACATGATATCACATGTTTGCTACCAATATGTAAATAATACATGAAATCATTATTATGAAATATGAAACTAATTACCTTTTTCTTCTTCTCTATTTGTGATTGCATCTTCTTCGTTGACTTTTGCCCGATTTTGAAAACTTTCTTGTCGAGTTCCTTTTTTTGATTGATTTTGATTAGAGCTACGGTTAACGCTGCTGCCCGGTTTTTCACCATTATTTGACTTGGTTGCATCCATTTCCTTTGACTTGTAAAGATCTACATAATCATCAATCAACATTGATGGGCATTTTGGCACCCTGTTTAGCTTTTGAGAGCATTCAGCTTTTGACATCATTGTGTCCAAAGATAGAGTAGATTTCTCTGGTTTCTTATTTTTGGAAGAAATAAGTATTCTCCTTGCAACTGGTTTTTCCACCTTTTGAATTTTATCTCTATTGTTCTCTAGTAGATTCTCATGAATTCTTTTTTTCAGCATTCCTGGTTTCAATATAATTTTCTCGTCATAATAATGTCATGAAAAGAAATATATAAATTTAAAGTATATGCAGGGATATTAACTACCTTGTGAAACTTCTTTGTTTCCATGTGCAAGAACTTCCTTAGCTTGTGGTTGCAAAAGCTTAGGTCTCTCTGCTTTCTTCATAGCAATGTGATTGTCCAATTTTCCATCAACCTTTTGAATTCTTTCTCTATTCACTGTAGCTTTCACTTGAGTTCTTTTCTTTGGTGTTTCTAATTTTAGTAAAATTCACCAAAAGATATTAGGAATAATTTCATGTAATATATGCATAATAGAAAATTTTAAAAATCACTTACCTTGTACAACTTCTTTGTCACCATGTGCATGATCTTTCATTACTTTTGGTTGCGAGAGTTTGTCTATCTCCATTTTCTTTGCAATAGTCTCTTTGTCCAAATTGTGATCAACCTTTTGAACTCTTTCTTGTTGAGTTCCTTTTTTGGTGTTTCTAATTTTTGTAAAAATTCATTAAAAAACAGTAGGAATAATATATCTAAAGGAATTCCAAAACATAACTTTAACATACATCATTTTATATAAAATCAAATGAAACAAGAAAATGATTTACCGTCCACAACTTCTATAATTTCCTGAACCCTTTCTCTATTGTTTCCCTGTAGCATCTCATGTAACTTGTCAATTTTTTCTTTCTTAACATGTTGTAGCACTTTCTTTGTCAATTCTGCACTTGATCTGACTTGAAGAGGAAAATCAAATCTTTTAGTAGGACTTAGACCACTCCTCCTATGTGATCCACCATCTTTTACACTTCTTACATTGTCCATTATGGCCAACAACTATGATCTACAAAGGGAGAAAATTGCATAATTAAATAATGAAAAATTGAGTATAAATTGACATTATGCATAACCATAAATTAACAGTATATTTGAATCTAGTTTGTTATGGTTTAAGTAAAAAAATGACAGCATGCGTAACCATAAATTAAACTTTGAATCATAATTAGTACTAGAAACACATTGCCAATGCTACCTAATCAGTACTAGAATCATAATCGGTTTCATCGTCACTTCCATAACTCGTGTCACTGTGATCACTCTCTATTGCTTTTTGGTTGTGAAGTTCTGACAAAGGAATTTCAAAGATATCATCCGGCAAATCTTTCCTAACCAAATCCACTTCACAATCATCCCTTAATGTATTAAGATTTGTTGAAATATCATATTCTTGGGCATTTGTACTTAAAGATTCTCCCATGTCAAATGATTCCCTTGGAAGTGCATTTAGAACATAGTGTTTGTTTTTGTTTAAAGGATCTTCAATAAAGAAGCATTGTTGAACTTGAGATGCCAACACAAATGGATCATTTTTGTAGCATTTTTTGTTAAAGTAAACCAACGGCGATCCATATTTATCCTTTTCATCCACAAACCAATCACATTTGAACAATACATATTTTTCATGACCATAATAATCTAACTCTATAATATCTTTTATTGCCCCATAGTAAGTCACACTAATCTTTTTGGGATTTTCATCCTTCGCATTTCTAAGAACTTGAGTCACCGCTTCTAATGTCACACCACTATTTTGTGTTTTAAGCCTTGCTTCACGATTTGTTGTATGAAACCTGTATCCATTAATAACATAACCAGAATACCTTCTAACAACATCATTTGGTCCCCTAGACAACACCTTCAACCATTCAGTAACTTTCTCATCCATGAGACGTGTTTCAAACCATTGAATAAAATCTTCTCTTTGATTGTTAGCTTTTCTGGACTTCCTTTTTTTTAGAGGATTATGATCATTAACCTCATGCTCTCTACAAAATAAATAACTAATATTTTAATACAAAAGAAAAAGAAAACTTATAGTGAGAATGAAATTTTGTATCAAGTAGATGAGTGTACCTAATGTACTCTTGCACTTCATCGCAATTGAATAAAATGTAGTCGTGAGCTTGGTTTAGAGACTTATGATCAAGGGAAATTAGTTTCTTTCCCCCGATTGGATGACCTATGTTTGGAGTATCATCGCTATTTCGTTTCATTCTATTTATCCTTGTGTCTACAACACTAGACAAATATCTTGAACAAAATGTTAGAGATTCTTTAACTAAGTATGCTTCAGCGATAGAACCCTCTGGACGACTCCTATTATGAACAAAAGATTTTAAATCACCCAAATATCTTTCCATATAATACATCCATCGAAATTGAACCGGTCCACCAAATCTGACTTCATTTGCCAGGTGAATTGGTAAGTGAACCATTATGTCAAAGAAACTCGGAGGGAAGATACGCTCGAATTGGCAAAGTGTTTCAGCAATTTCTACTTCCAAGTAATCCAATGATTTCACATCTATAACCTTCTGGCATAAACACCGAAAAAATGAACAAAGTCGAAGCAAAGGGATAACAATTTGATTAGGGCCTATCCCTCTTATTGCTACTTGCAACAAGTAATGCAATATAATATGAGCATCATGACTCTTGTATCCAGAAACTTTTCCTTCATTAACTTGAACACATCGAGAAATATTGGATGCAAGGCCATCAGGAAGTTTTACTGTCTTTAAAACATTACAAAAAATAGTTTTCACTTGCTTTGTTAGGGAGAAACATGCCTTAGGGATTTGAGTTTTCTTACCATCACTTGTTTCCTTCAAATGGAGTTTTTTTCTAATCCCCATGTGTTGTAGGTCCAAACGAGCTTTTGCATGATCCTTTTTCTTACCTTCAATATCTAAGAGAGTCCCCATTATATTATCACAAATGTTCTTTTCTGTATGCATAACATCTACATTATGGCGCAAAGAATTATCCTTCCAATATGGTAATTGCCAAAAGATAGACTTTTTCTTCCATGGACCAGGCCTTTTTTTATGATATTTTTGCCCCACTACGTCATGAATCTTTTCTAAGTCTTTTAAAATCATTGTTGAGTCTAACAAGGAGGGTGCAGACCTATATTCTGGCTTTCCATCAAAAGAACTTGAATTTGATCTCCAACTATGATTTGAATCCAAAAAGACTCGATGACCCATATAACACATCTTTCGACTATGTTTTAAGTATCTTGAAGAAGTTTTATGATTACAAGCAGGACAAGCAAACTTCCCTTTAGTACTCCAACCGGATAACATAGCATATGCAGGGAAGTCATTCACAGTCCACATAAGAGCTGCACGCATTTGAAATGATTGATTTTTTGAAATATCATATGTTTCTACACCGACTTCCCACAATATCTTAAGCTCCTCAATAAGTGGCTGCAAATACACATCAATTTTATTTCCGGGTGACTTTGGTCCAAGAATAAGTAACGACATCAAACAATTTTCAGCCTTCATGCACAAATTTGGCGGATAGTTATATACTGTTAATACAACAGGCCATGTGTTATGTGAAAGACTCATGGTCCTAAGTGGATTAAACCCATCACTTGACAACCCAATTCTGATGTTACGAGTTTCACGAGCAAAATCTGAATGTTTGGCATCAAAGTCTTTCCATGCTTGGGCATCAGCTGGATGCCTTAACTTCCCATCCCTTGAACGATGATCTGCGTGCCACCTCAATGTATCAGCTGTCTTTGAACACATAAAAAGTCTTTTCAATATTGGAATCAATGGAAAATGTCTTAGAACTTTGGCGGGAACCTTATGAGCTTTTATAGATTCTTCAAGATCATTAGCAACTTCAGGATATTCAATCCACCTTGACGTGCCACAAATATGACATGAATCATCTTTCTCGTGATCTTTCCAAAACAACATGCAGTTGTTCGGACATGCGTCAATCTTTTTATAGTCTAAGCCCAAATCTTTTATCATAGATTTTGTTTTATTGAAAGAGACAGGGATGTTCAAATCTGGCATAGCCTCTTTTAACAACTCTACGAGAGCAGTGAATGATGCATTACTCCATCCATGGAGACATTTCAACAAATAAATTCGAATAGTGAATGATAACGAGGAAAACTTTTCACAACCAGGATACAACTCTTGATTTGCATCATCAACTAGTTTATAAAATTTCTTTGCATCTTCATTTATCCCTTCATGTACTCCACCTCCTTCAGCCACATCTTTAAATGTCTCAAATAGTAAGCCATCGATATCATCATGAGATGATGTTTCATCATCACTATCACCATCAAGATCTATAAGACTCTCATCTTCACCATGATAAATCCATTCAGTGTATCCCTTTACAAATCCTTTACTACATAAATGGTCATACACTACATCTCTTACTTCCCAAGTATCATTGCAACATACAGAACAAGGACACAAAATCTCTTCTTCTTCAACCATTCCTTTGGTGAATGCAATATCCAAAAAGTAATTTACACCGTCCTTATAACTTTGACTGTGTGGAGGTAACTCCACCCAATCCTTCTTTATCATGTTTGGTTTTCTAAAATGAAATAAATTATACATTACTCTTTATCATATAAAGGATGGAAAAATACCATGGTTCATATATCAACGTAGCTTTTACAAATGCATAGTTATTATAAAAATTTCATTTATAATCTAAATATACACTAAACATGCATTCCAATACCAAACATAGAATAAATTGGTGAACTTTTAATCTAAACATGCACAAACATTTCATAGTCTAATATAATATGTATTTGTTGTTTCTTTTCAAACTATATAATATGTATTTGTTACCTAAATTCTTTCAACTTGATTCCAGCAGTAATAGAAACTAAAATCTTGTCCTTAGTTACAAGCGACTTCGATTTCAACACAACTTCCTTCACTGCAACAACAACAACAAAGCTAGTAAATGAAACGGAGACATTTCTTTCCCAAACAATGTTGAAACCGATGAAATATCTATTGAGGTTTAACCGAAACAACGACGGTGAATGATCTAAAGACAAATAATTAAAAAATGAGAAAATGAAATGCAATTACAATTACAAACTTATTAAACAAAATTGAACAAAGAACCAATATTGTAATAGTTATCTAATAAAGTGCCACCACGGAATAATATAGGTATTTACTCATGCAAAACTTAAAGAGTAGAAAGTAATTTATCTAACTAATCATATAAAATTTAAAGGAATAGAATACCACCATGAATAAAACATACTGAGAGTTTCGTAAAAAAATTATATATGCTGTTCAATTTAAAGGAGAGTTATCTAACTAATTATATATGCTGTCCAATTTAAAGGAGAGTTTCGTAAAACAATTATATATGCACATGGTGCTGTCCAATTATATATGTTGTCCAATAAAACATAATGAGAGTTAAAACAATTATGCTGTCCAATTTAAAGGAGAGTTATCTAACTAATTATATATGCTGTCCAATTTAAATGAGAGTTTCGTAAAACAATTATATATGCACATGGTGCTGTCCAATTATATATGATGTCCAATAAAACATACTCAGAGTTAAAACAATTATGTTGTCCAATTTAAAGGAGAGTTCTCTTGTGGCTAATAAACTTCATGCTAACAAAATAATGAGCATCGCTCACAGTAAAATCGTAAAACAATTATGCTGTCCAATTATATATGCTATCCAATTTAAAGGAGAGTTCTCTTGTGGCTAATACATACACAATTATGCTGTCCAAACTAAACAACACCAAACCGTAAAACACCGTACAACAACACACATATACATGAACACCTTAACAGTGACAATTCAAAAGAAACTAAGCTAACATTGCGCAAACCGCATCATGCACGTAAGAAAAATAGACTTAAATAATGTTATAATAATTCATTATTCATGTAAAATAATTTATTTCAACTATTCATTTTCTAGGTGAAACAGCTATAACATTT